TATCAATGTGTGTTCAAAAATAAATAAATTACAAATAAAAATAAAGTGATAAATACAGCTTCTATTTTTTTTCAAACATGAGGATGCCATTGCAATACAGAACACTTTGCCAACTATGTCTTATTTTTGCAACAAAGTGTGAGTATATACCAACCCACACTTCCTAAAAATACATTTTTAGTATAAGGTGACAAAATATGTTTTCTCTTAGTTATCACTCGGCCCGTCTCTGCCTCAGACACGCAGCCCACAGAACGTTCATTTGATATTTATTGTATTGTACACAAAAGTAGCAAAAGCAGGCATACACAACATGCACATAAATACTGTTGTTGAAAAAAAAAAACCTGCCTTTGAGGCTTTTGTGGTCTGTTGATCTTGAGAAGACAATGTAGGTCTTGCACCTGGAGCTCCAGGCTGATCCTAGAGAGAAAAATGTCTGCATTAACTTCATATATCATCTTAAGATGTAACTTGATGTGTAGCTTCAGGTTAAACAATCAAAAAGGCATCTTTCTTTCTTGAAGGCATTTGAAGTGTCACTTTGTGATGGGTGAATTAAATTGTCAACATGAGTGTTGAACTGTAAGGTGTTACAAAGTGTAAAAAAAAAAAAGTGTATGATATATAAACTCATTTTAAAACCATAAAGCCACGGGCCATGTACTTCCTCCACTTTTTAATTTGCTGCTCACATCATTAATCTATGAGAAATAAGGATGCTGTGAATTAAAGTGCACCATTTGGCATGGGCATTACTTCTGCACTCGCTAAATAGAGATAATTGACATGAAGTGATGGATTGCACGTAACGTACTGAGATTCTGGATACCATCCAGTACTTTATTTGATAATGATGATATACATGTATATATTTCTACAAATTGATATGCATGCAGAAATAGAGGACTGTACAATCCGCAAATGTAATACAGATACTACCGGTCAAAAGTTTGAGCTCAGTATGAATTTTATTTATTTATTTAAAGAAATGAATACTTTTACTATGACAATAAAATAAAATGACAATAAATGTTACTATTTCAAATAAATGCTTTACTTTTTATTCACTAAGGAATCCTGAAAAAATATTCCACAAAAAAAAATATTAAGCAGCACAACAGTTTTTAACATAACATAATAACACAAAAGTTTTTAACATAATAATAAATACCAACCTCTAAATCAGCATATTAGAGTGATTTTTGACACTGAAGACTGGAGTAATGATGCTGAAAATTCAGCTTTCCATCACAGGAATAAATTACATTTAAAATATATTAAAATAGAAAACCGTTCATAATAACATTTCACAATATTACTGTTTCTACTATATTTTTGATCAAATAAATGCAGTTTTAGTAAGCATAAGAGTATTAAGCATAAAAAATAAGCATAAGAATAAAAAAAATACATACCAACCCCTTTGAATGGTAGTGCAACTATAATTATATTCATTTTTTGTAAATTAAGTAAAATCAAATATGTGTAGTATCTTACAGTGCTTTGACTGTACTATTCTCACAAAATGTTTTAGCAACTATAACCGTGTTATAATGGGGGCAATTTTAATGAGCTAGTTTATTAATCTCAAGCCTTCTCACAAAAATCCATTAAATAATGTAAAATGGCTGGATAAACCCTTCTGTTAAAGCGCATCTGTTGTTCACACAAAGGTGTGTGTGTGTGTGTGTGTGTTTATGAATATTGCTGCATTTCCCATTCCACCTCCAAAAGAGCTTCTCTAGTTAACAGCCTAGTAGCTTAGCAGCTAAATTCACAAAATCCACAGGGGTGTTTGATTTCTGCATTTTCCTGCTAACAATGTATGTATTTGACTGTTCATGAAGTCACACGTGTCTAAAATACAACTAATTATGTCATTTCCTTCTTGCTCAATTTTTTTGTCAACAGACATTTTGCATTGCATTTTTCTAGCCTTGTACTGTACATGCCTGAATGGTTAATGAAAAGTTGTTCTCCACATAGACCATCAGTGCATAACTTTTCTGGTAATAAAAGGGATAGTTCACTCAAAAATGAAAAGTCTGTCATTATTTATTCACTCGGTTTTGCTAAACACTCAGTCCATGTGTAATCTGTCTTTTTTTCTATCTCAATGTCTCTCTTTCACTCATTCCATATCACTCTCATCTCTGGCTCTCTGTAGCGCTCATCACATTCCCATGTGCAGGAGTTTCCTGTCTAACACTATCAGATGTCTTATCGGGACAAGAGGTGTTTTGCTAAATCTTCACCCTCGCCTGCCTCTCCTCAGTTGTTATATCTCTCTTAGTTTAGATTAAGTGATCCAGCGGCTTCCGTATCTCTGTTTTTGCCGCTTCTGCATTCTTATCCCTTATGGTCGCACACATGATCAATGCTATCAGCTCTGTGTGGCAGTGATAAATTATGCATGCGCTCAAATCAATGGCTGAGTTGTGGTTTGGTTGAGACACAGCGGTGATAGCGAGTCTTAATCAGCACCTAAAGTGTGAGAACTCTTAACGTCCACCCCGAGGGCCATGAAGAGCGGCGTGGCTCTTTAAGAATGACTTATGTGGGAGCCGAGGACTTCATGCTCCATCATGTTAAGATGTTGTGCATTGTGGGTTCGAATCTAATCCCATTCTACACTGTTCTTCATCATTTTCTGCCCTGTTTGAAATATTCTCAAAAAGTGTTGAAGTGATTAAAAATAACATATATACACTATAGTTCTGTACTAGGGGTGGTAGAAATTTGTCAACCGGTAGAGGTTTTGGACTATCCTCTCTATCGGGGTTACATGCTCACGTGACATTGCTGTGCTATCATTTGCACGAGTTTTTACACATCGCGGTTTAAAAACAAGTTATTTTAATCCATTGAAATGCAATCAGCAGCGAAAGAGAACTATTTTTGCTATATGCACGCACTATTTGAGAGTTTCTGAGAGGCACGCGCACGTGAAGACGGTGTTCACAGAGCGCGAGAGTATTGAATTGGTTAAATACACGCGCTTGTATGTGTCAAAATGCCCCTCTTTGCAAGTATCCTCGTAAATACAGTAATTTAGGTCTTAAGTAAAAGCAAACAGCTGAGAAAGAGAACACGTGTAACAGTATATTGAGCCAGGCAGCTCTTAAAGTGACAGCAGTCTAATCTTCCTGCTGCCTGCCATTCATGTTAATCAAACAACAAAAGAGAGAAAATCTCTCACTGCTCTTGACTAAATCACTTTTGTGACTTTAAAGGGGTCATATGATGCGATTTAAATTTCTTTATAAAAGGTAAGAGTCAACCACGCCTACCTAAAACGGCTCGTTCTAACATGCGCCCACGTCTACATCACGATGTGGGAAGATTTGTATAATGCCGCCCAAATGTTCAAGCAAAGAAAGAAGGCGTAACTTTTATTCTCGCTGTAGTATTGTTGTTGCCGCCGCCGCCATGTCGTGAAGGCGCTGTGTGTTTCGTTGTGAAAGCGAAACTACTTTGTTTGGCCTTCCAAAAGAGGACGATATCCGCTTTGTCATGCCTGGAGCTGATCCTTGCTGGTCACTAATGAAATACATCAACTTCGCGCTGTGGATCGCCGGATTGGCTTTCACCGTGGACGAAGCGGAGTCCAGCCCGGGGTCGTCACATGTGGTTGCCGCATGCCCGCCCGCCGCCGCTCACTCTAGCCGCCAGCCTCCGCTCACTCTAGGCCTCCGGCCTCTGCTTACTCTAGCCCGCCGTGTGTGACGCTGTGTTTCGGACATATACATTTAATTTACACAGTACATATGCAGTGTTTTTATACAGTTGATTACTTTATACAGTGTATGTAGCATTTCTTATTTATTTGTTCTACTGTAGTTTTTTGTCCTATTGCTTGTAATTATTTTCTTATTCTTATTTAATCGCTGACTGTTTACTTGTCTTGGGGTTTTTTTTAGGCTAGTATTAATTTTTTCTGATATTATGAAATTATGAAATGTCTATGGTATCCAAAATTTTGATATCATAAAGACCTTATTTAAAGCAAAAATAACTATATTGTGTTAGGGATAGATAGATAGATAGATAGATAGATAGATACCGTGAAACAAAATTATGTTGTGGTATAAGATTTTGGTCATATTGCCCACCCCTATTCTGTGCTATTGTTATCAATACTTTTCAGCACTAAATTTATTTTAAGCATATTTAAAATTTTATATTTATATTTTGACAGAGCTCTGCTTTTGTCTTCCAGGTGCTTCAGTTGGTTTAGAGCACCTGTCAGTCACTTGCTTTCTTTCTTTCTTTGTTACTATTAAATGATTAAAAATGTAATAATTTAATTTCTTTAATTATTAATTAATTTATTTATTCAATTATTTATTTGTTTGTTTTTAGAAATAAAAAAATATTCCAGATTTGTTTTTTCCCAGGTATATGACACAGCACTTTTTCAGTTAGTTACTCCAGCTTACCTTTTGGAAAATGTGTGTAAAAAATGTCAAGTATAGAGAATACAATATATAAATTGCACACCCTGGTAGAGTAATAAAAAAATCTCTGAGGTTCTTTTAATCTCAGTCACTCTTCAGTCGCAGTATATGGTCCTTTTCACAAAATTGGATAAAATGATTCATATACCACAATATTGATCAAATGTTTCAACATAGTGTCTCATGACAAGCTATTATTTCCTCAGCCTTGTGCTTCCATCTCAGCGATGTTTCCGTGATGAAAGAAATAATGACAAAATTGCCAACCGCTTTGGAAGACGCATCATCAAAACATGCCTGTGGAGATCAGCGTAATATTTAAAATCAAATTACAGCTGAAAACACCAACTCCTCTTCCGATCTCATTTGTTTTTCTCTTGCTTGTTTATCTGTGTGTTTGTTGAGGTTATGTACTGTGTGAGTCTCTTAAAGGCCAGATTCGAACTGCGTCACTTGCTAAGCACTACATTGTATCTGGCGCACCTTTTTTCTTGGCATCTTGGGGCTCTTACCTTTTTTTTATCACTTTTGTCACTTTAGAAGCGAAGGAGATTGTCCTGAAAGCTCAGATTTTAGCGGGAGGAAGAGGCAAAGGAGTGTTCGACAGCGGCCTGAAAGGAGGGGTGCATTTAACAAAAGAGTGAGTACCTGCCTAGACCTATTTTCTGAGAAAGAATAGATCCTGTTTTCCTGTCCTTCATTCCTCTTAAAACCCCTGTCATTCTTTGACACCCTGTATTTGTCACCAAGAAAATAGAGCAGAATATCACTCTACCCTCAGCATTTGTGATGTCCTTAAAACTCAGTTGAATGATGGATTCCTTAGCGGAACAAATTATAAGTGTTATAGAAACTATAAAAATGTTGTAAAAAAAAAAAAACCCTTGAGAATGAGGGAGACGTTTGAAATATAGCAATCTCTGAAAACTTTACCAGAAAGCCATGGGTTTTCCTCAAGTAGGGGCTGATTTATGACTGAATGCCTGCGTCGTGTATCACTATCACGTAGTGTACTTTGGCATTCGGGATGAAGAGAATTGGCCAGAGAAAACACTCTGAAACGCAGGCTGATCTGTTTTATCTAGCAAATGAGCACAGTGCTTTTTGTGGCCCTGAGAGATCCTCGAGAGTTCGCTAGTATGCATTTCTTAAACTAAAACTTCTTTTTTTTTTTATGTTGTTTGCCTGTACCATTGTTATTTGTAGTACAATAAAAAGATGATGCAAAGAGAGAGAGATACGTAATCAGCAAATTGAGCACCACAGCTCTTTATATTAGCACACATGCATTAACTGAATAAAATAATCACAGTTGCGAAAAAAACATAATAGTCTGGGAAAACTTGTGTCCACATACAGTTTGATCAGATATCATCTTGCATCAGTGTTTCCTGCATGTAGGGCTGGGCGTTACTGCCAAAAAAATCCATGATAACATTTTTCATACGAGTTGATATCGATAATTATCACGATAAATTTCAAATCTTTATTTCTTTCAAGTTTAAAGGCAGAATTTTTGCTCCAAAGTGAAAGTTGTAGAAACCAAACAATTAATTGTGGTTTTAAACTACTCTTTATGATCAGAACATGACAAGCACTTCATATTTTTGAATTCTTTACACTTTTCCAGTCATTTTTTAATAAAAATAAATATCTTGATAGAAAAATTCATTTCTTAGTTTCTGCATGTTCTAATGGGTGATATTGTTTCAAATCAAGAAACAGGTTTGTTTTGCCTGACTTTGATGACATGTATTTTCAGCACAGTTTGCAGTGCAAGCAGCAATATTAATAATATTACAAAAATATCTACAGTAGTAGTAGCTTGAGTAAGGATGCAGATGTAAATTGATGTTCATTGTCAAAAACAGTAACATCTGTAAAAATTAAACAACCTCATCTTTTTAAATTATTCTGACTGTTTGAGTTTTATTCAAATTAACCATTGGTCTTCCACATTAGTATACATTTAGATCATGATAACCACAGTTAAAAGCACACATATAACACCTCAACACCATGGTAAAAACGCAACTGTATGGTTTCTAGGTATTTGTATGAAAAACAGTAGTCTAAGTACACAAAAATATCTAGATTCCGTTACTCCTTTAATACATTTTATACATGTCTACATTAATAATATAATACAATTCTATATGAACATTCCAGATTTTTGCCATAATACTATGGTGCAGTTAGTGTTACTACAGTAAATTCATGGTAAATGGTTACTGGGGGTCACATTACGCAATATTTACCTTGGAAGAATTCCTGACAACTCTTTCATTTACAAAATGCATGCACGAGGAATCATAAAGGAACTCTCGTAAAACTACAAATCCTCCCCCTGAAACTTCCCATGTTCCGTGGCTCTCTCTCATTGGCTGTAGGTCATCACCGATGTCATTTCCAGTCAAAACTCATCACAGACAGGTTCAGATATTTAGCTTGGGAAATATTTCTCAGGCATCAGTACCTGTCTCAGATGGTGTCTTTGATAATTCACACCATGTATCGTCAGTCATGTGTCTACTATCTCCAGAAAACTGTCAGCGAGTAAAGATCAGGCCTAAAGTCATGTAGTGTATACTATAATCATTCCTCTTTCATTCCTTTGAGCTCACAACTGACTCCCTCACTGAGCTGAGTCAATTTAAAATGAATTGAGATTGTTTACTGTGATGTATATTTTAGGTTTGTGAGACTGACGATAGTTTGTTGCAGCTTAGTTGTTCGTATGACAGCTAAAGATACAGTAATTAAAGATACATTTTTACAACAGAGTTTTGATGTACAGGTGCATCTCAATAAATTAGAATGTCGTGGAAAAGTTAGTCTGACCACCAAACAGACCCCTAAGGAAGGAGTGAAAGTGAAAATGGTATTAAAGGAAGCACTTTGTTTATCTCTGGCATATTATCTCTTTGTTAATGTTGTTCCTTTGAATAAATAATCGCTTTTGAACTTGGAAATGAAATTCTCTCTCTCTCTCCATTCTCCTTGTCTTCCTGGCTGCAGGAGAAAGCTGTATAATACCATTTAAAGATGCACTTTTTTTTTCCTTTCTGTCATTTTTTAAAGAAATATTATTTTGCTGTTAGCTGAGTTAGGTGTCGTAGGTCACTGAGATGAATAAATCGTGTGAGTCAGACCTCGTTGTGCAGGGAATGTTGGTAAACAGCCATTTCCATGTGTCACTAACAAGCAGAAATATCATTTTCCTCCCTCTTTCTCTGCTTCTCTCTATGTCTGACACCCACACAGACCGGCATTCTCCTACAACCACCCCGTATGTTTATCACTGTTTATCTCTCTCCCCCTCAGGAGGTAATGATGGCTTCCTGCACTTACCACGTGTTTGTCCTCTCATCTTTAAACGCGGCCTAGAGCTCCCCATTATCATCCGCTTTTATTCCCGACAGCTCCCCCTCACGTGACCGCCCCAAAACTTTTTGCACAATGACTGCATCCCATTTTTGTCTTTTTCCTGGCCGAGAAACAGCCACGGGGGGTGGAAGTGCATATTCATAAAGGTTTCATAAAGGGAGGTGGTGAGGAGGAACAGAGGTGGGATATAAGCGAAAATAAAGAAATGCTTTAGAAATGCCAGCTCGAGCGTTTGGCATCTCCCCACAAACTTCTCTCGCTGCATTTGAGAGAGTGTCACATTTGCTATTCAAGAGCCCTCTGGTTTCCTTCGCACATGGATGCGTTATTGCATAATGAGGTTTTCCTCATGAATTCAGAATACAGTATCGGTTTATTGAGAGGAAAAAAGAAAAGGATGTTTTGTAAAATTGTGTCCTCCTTTAAGCCTTCAGAAGATATTGTCATACTTCACAGCAGCGATTCGGATCTGGATATAGGATTCATATAATATATAAGCTAGTGTTGTCACGGTACCAAAATTTCAGTATTCGGTACCAATACCAGTGAAAATCCACGGTTCTCGGTACCAATTTCGGTACCAAAGCAAAACACAAAAACATGCTAATTGAACAACATTTTTATTAATAATGTTAAACAAAAATTAAATGTACAAAACCAATGCCATTCTTTATACTTATTTAAAATTGTTTCAAGTTTTCCCACAAGTAATAATAGTATGAAAAAAGTAAACAAGTTTCACCCAAAAGTTTAGTCATAGTTCTGCTGCCACTGAAAAACATCTGTAAACTGTTGTCTGTTTTAGGGTTTGCTGGTGTGTTTCAGGATCTTCCTCAGCCTGCAGCTGTAAAAGGAAAATATAATATACTTAAGTAAAGCAATGGGCTGAGTCTGACCAAATGCAACATAAGATCATTGACACCAGCTAAAATATAACTTTTCAGTCCTCCCTCTTTCTCTGCTTCTCTCTATGTCTGACACCCACACAGACCGGCATTCTCCTACAACCACCCCGTATGTTTATCACTGTTTATCTCTCTCCCCCTCAGGAGGTAATGATGGCTTCCTGCACTTACCACGTGTTTGTCCTCTCATCTTTAAACGCGGCCTAGAGCTCCCCATTATCATCCGCTTTTATTCCCGCCAGCTCCCCCTCACGTGACCGCCCCAAAACTTTTTGCACAATGACTGCATCCCATTTTTGTCTTTTTCCTGCCCAAGAAACAGCCACGGGGGGTGGAAGTGCATATTCATAAAGGTTTCATAAAGGGAGGTGGTGAGGAGGAACAGAGGTGGGATATAAGCGAAAATAAAGAAATGCTTTAGAAATGCCAGCTCGAGCGTTTGGCATCTCCCCACAAACTTCTCTCGCTGCATTTGAGAGAGTGTCACATTTGCTATTCAAGAGCCCTCTGGTTTCCTTCGCACATGGATGCGTTATTGCATAATGAGGTTTTCCTCATGAATTCAGAATACAGTATCGGTTTATTGAGAGGAAAAAAGAAAAGGATGTTTTGTAAAATTGTGTCCTCCTTTAAGCCTTCAGAAGATATTGTCATACTTCACAGCAGCGATTCGGATCTGGATATAGGATTCATATAATATATAAGCTAGTGTTGTCACGGTACCAAAATTTCAGTATTCGGTACCAATACCAGTGAAAATCCACGGTTCTCGGTACCAATTTCGGTACCAAAGCAAAACACAAAAACATGCTAATTGAACAACATTTTTATTAATAATGTTAAACAAAAATTAAATGTACAAAACCAATGCCATTCTTTATACTTATTTAAAATTGTTTCAAGTTTTCCCACAAGTAATAATAGTATGAAAAAAGTAAACAAGTTTCACCCAAAAGTTTAGTCATAGTTCTGCTGCCACTGAAAATACCGGGTCTTTTGACAACACTAATATGAGCAAAAATTGGTCATGTGAAAAAAATTTATTATATGTGACCCTGGACCACAAAACCAGTCATAAGGGTAACATTTTTTTAAATTGAGATTTATACATCATCTGAAAGCTGAATAAATAATATTTATATATAATATAAAAGCCGAGATACAACTATTTGAAAATCTGGAATCTGAGAGTGCAAAAAAATCTAAATACTGAGAAAATCACCTCCACCACAGAAATAAATTACATTTTAAAATAAATATAAAAAAGAATATAACTGTACAATATAACAGTTTTCACTTTATTTTGTGGCAAATAAATGCATCCTTAGTGAACATAAGAGACATCCTTCAAAAACATTATAAAATCTTACTAACTCCTAACTTTTGAATGGCAGTGTGTGTATAAATAATTGTTTTGTTGTTGCTGTTTTTTACTTTTTATATATGTAGGTCAATGGCTGATGGCTGTTTGGTTGAAATAAATACATAAATATGTATTGAATAGATTTTATTTTGTACTCTTTATAGCTCTCAGCCCTAGAAGGGATTGAATATGGATGAGGGTTTGAATATGAGTGGTGTTAAAAGGATGTAATTGTGTTGTCAGTCTCAGAGAGGAATGCTGCTTGTGATCTGTCAGTGTGCCGTCAGGACTATGCGTTAATGTGCCATTTTTCACCCAGCTATGTTAGCACAGTCTTGTCTTGTTGGCCTTCTCTCTTTCTTTTCTGCTGTAATAGACTGTGTGAGGAAATAGAGTAAAGGATAAAATAGATGGAAGGACAATGCAGGAAATAGAATGAACAGGGGTGCAAACGTTTGGCTTTCTTGTTGCCTCCTTCACAAGATGAAAGGGATAAAAATGGACTCGGGTGCTGGAGATTGGAGTGTAGGTGAGACCAGGGCAATTGTAACACTCTAAATTTCTTCAGTTTTATACAAGTAAGAGTGATGACACTTATTTAACACATGCTCAGTAGCGTTCTTTTCCTTCCTGAGTGTGATTCCCCCTTTTGGTGTGAAATGTTCAAAGGATGTAATTGTGTTGTCAGTCTCAGAGAGGAATGCTATGCGGGAATGTCAGGACTATGCGTTAATGTGCCATTTTTCACCCAGCTATGTTAGCACAGTCTTGTCTTGTTGGCCTTCTCTCTTTCTTTTCTGCTGTAATAGACTGTGTGAGGAAATAGAGTAAAGGATAAAATAGATGGAAGGACAATGCAGGAAATAGAATGAACAGGGGTGCAAACGTTTGGCTTTCTTGTTGCCTCCTTCACAAGATGAAAGGGATAAAAATGGACTCGGGTGCTGGAGATTGGAGTGTAGGTGAGACCAGGGCAATTGTAACACTCTAAATTTCTTCAGTTTTATACAAGTAAGAGTGATGACACTTATTTAACACATGCTCAGTAGCGTTCTTTTCCTTCCTGAGTGTGATTCCCCCTTTTGGTGTGAAATGTTCAACTTTTGATGATAAGTTTACACTAACACTTAATGACAAGTTTTGATGATAATTTTATTTTCTAGTTTGTTGGTTAAATGTTAACATGAATGACAGATATGAATGACACCTCAGATTCATGTAGACTGTTACTAATTGAAAACTCCATCCATCCGTCCGTCCATCCATGTCTATAGTACATCTATATTTGTGTGTGTGTGTATATATATATATATATATACATAGTAATTAAAACTTGGTAACCATGTATGAATGCAAATTAGTCATTTTAACTGAACTTAGGACTGGTGGTGGTGCTATTTATTATTATTATACGAATTATACTAATAAAAAACATATATAAAACGCACTAAGGATTAACGAGCTGCTGGATTCATGAATATCAATCGGGTTGAGTGCGTTCGCTCGAACTGATTTGCTGAAATCAAAACAGGGACGATAATAGGTTATGTTTGTTATTTAACAGTGAAGAGAGGACAGTAGTCTGTTATTGAATGTAAAAATGTTACTAATACACCTGATCTCCCCTACATTTTATTTTATTTTTTATATTTGTGTGTGTTACGATTCATTGTATTTGTTTCATTTTTTGTTGTTGTTTTTTAGTGTGTGTTTTGTTTGCTTTTTCATTTATTTATTATTATTTATGTTTGTGTGTGTGTTGTTTGTTTTATTTTGTTTTGTTTGAGTTTTTTTTTAACATTGAAGAGAGGACGGTAGTCTGTTACTGAATGTTAAAATATTACAAATATGCCTAGCCTTTATTTTTATTTAATTTAATTTTATTGTTCTTATATTTTCTTGTCTGAGTGTGTTTTCTTTTGTTTTATATGTGTGTTTTGTTTTGCCGAAGCGTTCAGTCATTGAGTCCGGCGAGTGAAAATATAAACTAATATACTTAGCCTCCAACTCACACACTGGCGAGTAAAATTTGAGAATCGAACGATATCGTCTGTTTATTCTAAGTGCACGCTCGTCTGGCGCTTTAAATTCTCGAGCTCGTTATAGCAGGATGGATTCTGATTGGCTGTCAATTTTTTATCGTTCATCAGCTGGAATAAAATATTTCTGAAAGTGATTCCAACGATATAGTTTCTCTTTGTCTTTATCGTTATAGTTGTGGTGTGGACTCTGCTATTCTTTAATATTGAGAACGATTTTTAGAACTATATCTTTATCGTTATCTTTATAGTTATCGTCCTTGGTGTGAACGGGCCTTAACACCTAATGGTGAGAAATAGAATCGGGGTGTGTTGCAGGCGAGACTCAAACCTACATAATCCATTTGATTGTTATGGCTCTATTGAGTGTTAAAGGGGACAGTAAAGCCCCGTTCACACCAAGAACGATAATTATAAAGATAATGATATTAGCGTCCACACCAGCCAACCCTCTACAGACACCTTGGCAACTTCCTGGTTCCTTCCCTCATCCTCTTTTGTGTCACTTCTCTTCCATCACCTTTTTATTAGTTGTTATTTCAGCCCCTTTATTGGTGGTTCTGTCTTTATCCACTTGCCATGTCTCATCGAGCTTCATGATGGCTGATTATCCAGTATTAGAAGTAGCTGTAGGACCTGCAGCCAGTAAACCTGTGCTTCAGAAATAAGTCTGTTAATACACCATAATGAATAGATAACACGCAATGATGAATCCCGTCTCACCTGGTGTTTGTGCTGAGCAGGTGATGGTTGCTGAAGCTCTGGATATCTCCAGGGAAACATATTTCGCCATCCTGATGGACCGTTCCTGTAATGGACCCGTGATGGTGGGCAGTCCTCAGGGGGGTGTGGACATAGAGGAAGTGGCTTCCACCACGCCAGAGCTCATCTTCAAGGTATCTATCTTAGTTGTATCTGATTGAAAAGGTGTAGGAGTGAGTTACTTTGTGATTTTCTGTTATAGAGGTCATTTTTTTTTGTATGTTTTGAAATAAACTTGCAATAAATATAAGAAATATAAGTTGTTACAAACAAATTATAGAAGCAGAAGTATTTATTTATTTATTTATTTTTAGAACAGTTTAAAAAGTGAGCATTTTAGAATGGTTAAATTGAGATGGAAAATGTATGGAAATGCCATATATTAAAAATTGTAGTAATGTCAATAATAAATGTTTCTGATGTAGGTTAAGATTTTTGTATTGTCTCCCATGGGAGAAATTTTCTTGGATTAGAGACCTGCTGCATCACCAAACAAACCTAGACAGTACATTTAAATACATAATAATATCCAACACATTACAATACCTTTTCCAGAAAGTACGAAACAATTCATACACAGATGATCACAATGTCAAACTTCCCCAGTTTTGAAGCAAAATGAATTAAAATACATACTGTAAAGCTAGATTCTTCACTAAGCTGCATTTTAATCGCAGGTTTTTTTTTTTTGTTGTTGGTTTGTTTGTTTGTTTTTTGGAGAATTTTATAGACAAATACAGAGTTTAAATGCCTTTAAATCTCTATGAAAATTAATACAAATATTACATTTGAAAATGTAGCAATTAATAGCCTTGTCCACCATTATATATATTTTTTTTTTAATTATGATATGACTCCTTTAATAGACTTCTTTCACAGATAAACTCATATTAAGACGTGTAACAGCTGCTTCTCATTCTTGTAGCTCTTTGTGGTGTCTGGTTTTATGCATTCTCTCTTGTGTGTGTCTATCTCTGTATATGAGTGATCTTTTAGAGATGGCCTTATAATTGCAAAGCCATTGTTCTCCAGCTCTCGTCTTTTTCTCGTTTCAGTTTGGCTGCGTGCCAGCGCTTAATTGCAGCTCTCTTGATTTTAATACGAACATCTGCTTTGTGTCAAATTTTAGCTGATGGTTGGTTTTCTCTTGCTTTCTCTCTCCCATCTCTTGCCTCAGGAAGTCATAGATATTTTCGAGGGGGTCCGAGACGACCAGGCACTACGTATGGCAGCTAATTTGGGATTCAAAGGGCCGTTGGAGAGACAGGTAATGGGTTTGGACTGAATCGCTGCCAAAGAGATTGTGCCATTAGAATGTGTGTCGTTAAGCACAGCGGCCCCCACCTTACATCACCTCCCCCAACCGTCCGCTATGTCTCCATTTTCGCTCATGGAAAAAGCGAGAGTAATGGACATGATGACTCTGCCAATACAGTCATTAAACATTTCTTGTACGTGTTTAGGCCTCAGCAGACATCACAGTTCGTGCTGGTACATCGTTCACATAAACTGCCATCTATAAACAGGTCACAGATTTGCTGTGACTACCTTCACCGTAAACGATAAGCACAAGTTTAAATCTCTAAGATTTAATGGCATTTATACCAAGGCCTCGTACAGGGTCTCTGAGTGACTCCTGTTTCCTCATTTTCACAAAATGTGCGTTTTTCCTATTGATAAATCTAGCGTTCAGATAACTGTACAAATATTTATGGACACTTAACATTTACCTATTGCTCTGGGAATTTAGGAGGGAATTTAAGAGCATGAAAATCTATGGAATTGTTTCGGAAAGTCAAAATATGAAAATGATATATTACAAAGTACTGTATAAATCATTATCTAATTTTCCATACGTGTTACAAAAGTATGAATTACAAAATGTAAGTATTACCAATGTATGAAATATGAAAGCATTACAAAATCTACTAAATTGTTCCAGAAGGTCAACATATTTATATTTTATGTTACAACGTGTGAAATCATTATGAAATCATAAAATATATTACAATATACAGAAGTATTACAAACACATGAAATATATGGAAATATAGGAAATCTACAAAATGTTAATGAAAGACACGTTTTTCCTCATCTACAAAGGTTTTGCGAGAATACAAAATATGACTGTATTACAAAAATCTTTCACAAAAGTGTTGCAAAACTATGAAATACTAAAGTATCCAAAATTCTATAAAAGTATTACAAGAAGTATTATACATTTTTTACAGAAAGTTAAAGCAGGATTGCATGTTAAAAATACTGCTGTTAAACGATTAATCACTATTAATAAAATTAAAAGTTTTTATTCGCATCCTAAATAAAAGTTTTTTGTTTACATAATATATGTGTGTGTATTTTATATATTTATAATGTATATATAAATACAAACATACAGTATATATTTAGAAAATATTTACATGTATATATATTCATATAATTTATATTATATATAAATATATTTAATATATAAACATAACATATTTTTCACATTTCTCACACATAAAAACGTGTGTTTGTATTTATATATACATAATAAATATGCACAGTATACACATATATATTGTGTAAACAAAAACTTTTATTTTGGATGCGATGAATTGCGA